TAAATATTGTGATAATTTGGATAGTCAACCTAGTGGTGACGAGTGGGATATATTTCCGACACTCTCTTTTTATATTGTACGACAAAAGCTGTGCCTTATTTGTCGTAAAATGTCTGGAACTAGACTTATTCCAAGAAATTTAATGTTTAAAGGGTGGAAATTGGTATTTGAATTTTGCACATTTTGTAGTGAAACTAGACCCATGGGATTATCTCATCGAAACGTAGGATATCGTGATGGGTTATTGGAATCTCCACCACATAAATGGGACTCCCCACGGCCTGTGTTAGATTTACTATAAATAGATGTTAAAACCTTGGTAGAGATTATTAAAATGGTATCATTAGACTTTATTGTTTTACAAGCAATTCTGGGAAATCTGCTTTTAATCCAGCAACCAATCAATGTTAGGGAAGTTTTTGTGTGCTTTGACAGTAATGGTACACTAAATGAAACATGGCCTGAGACGTGGTCAAGAATGGAATCATATCCGGGAAACCATTTTTTACCAACTTTACAAGCTGAAATACCACTAAACAGCACTAAATATAAATTGCGTTTTAGACATATGAGTGGTAGAAGCAGTGACTCCAAATGGTTAGAACTTTATAATGAAAGATTTAAAAAGGATAAAGTTATATCTCCAATATTTTATTATATAGCTATTTGTTCTACTTTTTCTATACTTGTGGTATTAATAGAATTTTTTAAGATTTTAAATAAAAAGATTTGTTTATATACATGTGTTTTATTGATACATACAAATATACAATTATTATACAAAATTTACAAATATGAATCATATTGAAAGGAATTGACTTTAAAAAGTTCATCCAAAGGAATATTTTCTAAATCGGATAATGCCGGAGCGTCTAGCAGCTTATTCCCAAATGTTATAAGGTCATCTATATTACCATTATGTGAAGTGATTAAAAAATGCCCCCACGCAAGTGTTTTTACGTCACCGTTTATAACATAGCGTTTGTCATCCTTAGCAGATAGTGCAACTTTATTTCTAAGTTCTGTATATATGGTGTGTAAATTAGACACAAATACATACATTTTTCTAAATATTACACCACCTTTTTTTACTAACAGAACGTAATCACTCATTTGCAGTTGTGTTTTGGTTATGTGTTTTGAAATGCCTTTTGCTTTTTTTATTAGTTCATTTGCTTCTATACAATAAGCTTTAGCACCTGTACCATAAAAACATTTAATGGGTATAGATGCAAATTCATCTTTCATTTTTCCTAATATTGAAGGGGTTTTCGGTATCCCGTGAATATTATAAGTCGGATAGTTGGAGGTGTCGAAATGTTCTAAATTTCTTTTCATATCCGCATAGAAATTGGGGGTATATATCTCCATAATCAAGGAGTCTGTGTCTGTGTATAACAAGTTTGCAGCTTCTCCATACTTCTTTTTGATGTATCCATAGTAAAAATCATATATCACAATTTTTGATAAATCTAAAATTGTAAATCCAACATAGAGAGGCTTATCGTAAACTATTTTGGTTTTACCCAAATGAACCGCAACCAAATTTTCATTAAACACAGAACAAGACTTGAATTCTGGTTTCGAGATAAGTGCCCTGGCTCCCAACGAATTTGTTTTGGTTTCCCACCGAGTACAAAGGCGGATATCCTTTCTTTTTTCGAGATTCTCTAAAGTTTTTCCGAATATCGCATTATTTAGCAATTTAAAGAGATCCCGCTCAAACTCGTTTTTGGCTTTGTTTCTAAGTGATGTGTTTAGGTCAATATATTTTTTTAGCCATGGTGATTGCGAAAACTCTAGTATACGATGAATCCTTTTTAGTACCAGACCATACTTAAGACACTGTTTAAGATTGCGATAATGAATGACGTATTTAGTTTTATTGTTGAGATTTGGTATAAGTTTAGGATATTTGCTTCCTGGTGGTACCATGCTTTCGGGGCAGAATGGCATATCATTATGTGCAGAATGTAAATGAGCTGGATATTCCAAATCTACTTCCAACACATACCCTTTATCCGCATCATCTTTCACCGAAAAACAGTTAAAGTTTTCAACATCCGTTACCCATTTGAAATGTCCATATGGAAGATATTGACACATGGCAGCACCATATAAATTTGTGGCATCTAGATACATGATGTAAGACTCGGGTTGTTGAGGATCAAAGTTGGGTACATAATGATTATTTGCCACTGCTTCTCTTTTACAACATTGTGCCACACCTCCTCGTACTCCTTTCTTTAAAAAGTGTACCATGTCAATGTCGGTAAGAAGCTCCAGTTCAATTTTGGTGTATCTTAACATGGCATCCCAACTTAGTGCAGGAGCTGTTAGGTAGTGACAAGGATCTAAATTGTATTCTTTGTGACATATGTTTCTAAAGTTCTCAAATACGTCAGCTAATAATAAGACATCTGAGATTAGGTACAACATAGCATAGTCACTAATAGATTTACAATCAAATGTGTTCCATACATCAATTGCTCTTGCATAATCGTCATCAGAAATGTCTTGGTTAGTTAGATTATTGTAAAAATTTTCTTTGGGCGGTAGTGTTTTTTCTTTGAGTTTGTCAAATCCATCCATATATGAATAAGGAAAAACACCCTTGCGTCTCACAAGTTCAAATTGTTTAGTATCTGGGAAATACTTTCTAATTTCTTTACATTGCTCTGAGTTTAAAGTTGCGCTCAGAGTATCTAAAGATTTCTATAAAAATCTGTATGAATCAACAAATTTCAAATAAATATATTTGTGTGGGTCCTTTTCTACCAATATTGATTTAGAAATTGTTATATATTTTTCTTTGGTCTGGGCAACTACTGAAACTTTTTCACCAGCTGTTGAAAGCTCTTTAACAAATAGATGACAATCATAATTGCTCATATTGTGTAAAAATACAGGTATTGAATTTGAGAGTTTGTAATTTATATTACAGGAATTATGAGCTGGCCCAAGATATTTTGAAGTTAAATGATGATGATCTCTTACTTTATGATTAAAAGGATTAAAGGGTTTTTTACACAAGTAACATTCAGTAGCGCTCACATGTTTTTCAAATTCTTCTTTTGTTAACGGTAACATTGGTTTAATATGTTTAAGGTGATTCGTGTATAGTTCATTTACTAAACACTCTAGTTTCTGTATAAATACTTTGGGAGCATCCTCTCCTTCATATTTTATTAGTTTTGAAAGTGAATCATCATAGTTGCATTTAAGGTAAAATGCAAACGAATATGCTTGGTGTTCAGCTGTTTTGATTGAATATGAGTTTCCATTAAAAGGTTCAGCATAATCTATGGGCTTAAGCAAACTTTCAAAGTCCGCATACACAACAAATGGTACAGGCAACATTTTTTGAATGTTGATAAATTTTAGTATATTTTCTGGCACCATTTCGCCAAACTTATTTATCTTAGGACTTGATGTGGGAAGTTCTGTGTAAATATGTAAACAGTCGCTCTTTTGGTGATTATTGAGCTTTTCTTCTTTGGTAAAGAATTGTAGACATCCATCACATAAATATTCTTTGCGAGTGTTTTTTGTTTTTTGACTTTTTACAAGTCTGACCAAGTCTAGAATCAGACAATAATGACTTTGTTTATCATTTGTTATAAGCAAAAGGTTTACATGAGTGGCATGACGATTACTTGTAAAGTAAAGTGGGCCAATTATTTCATATTGCCTTTTATTATTTACGAAATTGGATTCTAGCCCATAAACATTTACTGAAATATTATTAAGGGTCTCAAACTGTTTAATATCTTTCAGTTTCATCGGAAAGTCAATCCCTTCAAAATTTAACAAAGTATCATACGGTGGATATGATTCTGGTTTGCTTGGGTTGCCAACGGGAGGAAAAATAGCTGCGTTAACACTCCACGCAAAACACTTATTATCTCTGTTTTCGATATTTAAAATAGCATGTTTTCTTACTATGGGTATTGGGAGACGAATATATGTTGATGCAGAAATAGAGTTAAATTTGTTTATGTTAACATCTAAAAACATTATTTCCTGTAATGCCCAATTTGAATCTTTTTCTTGAAATTCTGAGGCTTGCGTCATCAGTGCTTTCTTAAAATCATCAAATGTTTCTTCCATCTCAGTGCTAATAGATATAATTGTATTGCACGTGTTCATGGACTTGATATCTGATAGGCTACTATCAGGTTTTAGATAAAGACTAAATATTTCAAAATTTACCTTTATGATATTGTGCAGATGTAGATATTCCTTCAAGATGTTCAAAACTTTGGGTTTAACATCATTTAAAAATTCATGATAATCCATTTTCTTATTACTATAAAAACGATAAGATGCGATTCTGTTTTTAAACGCATGTGTTAATTTGGAAACACTGGCATCTATCACTTCCAATCCAAGTGGTCTTAATCTTTTTTTGGGAATATAATAATCCCCATTATGCTCACTATCACTATTCACATTTCTGTATTTACATGTTTTCCTGTGTCGGGAGAGGTTATCTGAGCGCGAAAACGATTTATTACACATAGTACACGTATTCATGATTCTCGATAAACTACTGAGGAGTTCCGCTTATTTGCCTTAAATAGTATAATGATATTATGAGAATGTTACCCCCACCATGCTATTTTCAGACATTGGTCATTGATCTTGAGTAGAACTGATGTTGTCTAGACTATTGCGTGTCGTTCACCCCAATTTTTAGCAATTAATCATTAATCTTAAATAGACCAGATGTTTTCTAGACACCCACATGTTCAGGGGCTTATTTAATTGACCCTTGTTTAGTAATTAATTAATTATAATTATTTCATGGTTCTAATTATTCATTGTTGACCAAATGTTGTCTCTAGACACCAAAATGTTGATATAGTTCACCCTTTTGCTCTATTTTAGATGTGAGAAGCAGATAATTATAACACCCCCCTCCAATACATACAGAACCCACCTATCTCCACTACTTGAAAATATATAAAATGATACACTTGTATTTTTTGTGAATTAAAATGGTGTTAGAAAACGAATACCAAGCTATGGATGAAGAAGTTATAAACCCTTTGGATGCCATACTTGAATTAGAAGACAGTGACAATGTCTCCACGGATGAAAGTTTTGTTTTTTCGGTATCTACGGAAAATCTATCAGATTTGGATGAAATTGAAGTGATAGATACTGATTCCGCCGAAGTGGACAACAAAATTATGCAAGTGGATGAGGTCAATAATGTGCGCTTTTTGGCATACGAATGTAGAGAGCCAGTTTGTTTGACTCAACATTATTATATTATACACAATCAAAGTCTTTGTCCATCGTGTTTTTTTGAAACTCTTAGGGGAGTACCAACATATATTCACACGAATCATATAACGGAACATTCTAGTGGAACTGCGGATAATCTGAGTGCACGTATTTGTGCGACTTGTAATAAAAATTTATACATTTACTGCTTATCAAAATACTGCATTGTTTGCAAATCTATAACAATAAATACACCATTTTAAAAACTTTGTGTCTTTTTTTTAGGCTCTTTTATATATAATATTTATCTTTTATTAGTTTTCATAAATACAGCGGTGGGAATATGTTATTTACCTGCTAGTAAAAAAATTAGCACTTTTGTATTTAATTTTAAAAAAATGAATTATATATTTTTGAATTGGTTATTTTTTTTTCAAATTAGTAATATATGAGAATATATTGTTTTAACAAAATTTCTGTAGATGGGGTTTACTACCTTTATTTAAAATGATTAGGTAAACATTTTTTTTTCAAGTTTTGACTACACCTGTATTTGCGAAATAAGAATCCAAAATATTTTTTCTTAGTTTTAATAAATAAAGCGGCAAATAATTTTTTAAATTTATTTAATTTATTTTTTGGTTATAATAAACTTAACTCCGTCAATGGTTAAGTGAACTTGAAACGAAAATACAAAAGAGGTACCTACCTGGTGCTGCCTTTTCGACGTGCAGTTCCCTAAGGTATGTGGGTCAAACGCGGTCAGTTTGTGTGTGTATCTGTGATCCGAGAAAGATATTATTTTGAATATATTTACTAGTTAAGAATATAGACGCTTAAAGTGTTTATGTTATTTGATATTAGCTTGGTGCAATGTTTGTGTTTAAGGTGTGTGATTTATTTTGGATTACATATTTTTAAAAAGGTATGTTTTTTTTTCTTATCTATTAAACATCACAAAAAAGAAAGTATAATATTTTGCTTTTAGAGGAAATAGTCATATCTTTTAAATAAATAAACGAATATGAAATTATATATAATATGTTAGGTGTGTGATTATTTATTTTGGAATACATATTTTTAAGAAAGTATGTTTTTTTTTATCTATTATACATCGCAAAAAAAAAGTATAATATTTTGCTTTTAGAGGTAATAGTCATTATTTTAAATAAATAAACCAACATGAAATTATATATATATATGTGTATATATATATATATATATATATATATATATATATATATATATATAGGTACCTATATATAAAATTTTGTACTGATTTTTACCTACGTATTTTGGAAATGAAATAAAAAACCAAAAATGTTATAAAATTTTTTATTTTAGTACAATAATCCTTAGAAACTGTCAGTGTTAATATTTTAAAAATAAAAGTAAAACTTTGTATTTTTAGAATATTTTGTTTGACTATATAAAATTAATAGTATTAATTTTATATAATTTAACATTCGACAAACACTTTAGAACAAGATATAACAATTAAAAATGAAATTATATTCCAATAGCACAAGTTTGAATGTTTTTTAAACTATTTTATAGTGAACTTCATGGCTATCCAAAAATGATTGTTTTTCACTAACAAAGTTTTTAATAAGCACATTATATTCTTCATCCTAGCTTTGCACACTAGATTGCTTGCATTGAACACAATTTGTCACCCCGAAACAGATTATATTATGATTTTATGAAATTTTTACACTTTTAAACATTATTCCACTGGTTTGCATGTGTAAATAGACGTTAGAATTTGATTACAGATTGCAATGTTCTTGTTGACACTAGTTAAGCTCTGTAGAGCTCTATCGCGTTTCCTTTCATACGCACTGATTTTTTTAATTAATACTTGTCTATGAATTTCTTGGCTTTCCAAGAAACGCTTATTTTCACCAACAAAGTTTTTAACAAGCACATTATATTCCTCATCTTGGCTTTGCACATTTTTGTCGATTGTATCAAAATTAGTCGTCGTGTTAAGGTCTATTTTATCTGCATTACTTTGACCAGGCAATACACATTCTTCCATGCTTTCATCAAAGTCCCCTTCTTGAATGATATTTTCTATTTTTTTTTCTTCTAAACAGGTATCACCTTCATCTTCGCTTTCCGATGAAATGTTTTCATATTTGCTCTCGTTTGGAGTCGAAGATATTGTGACATGCTCTTCGAATTCTTTATATTTCATAGGTTGGTGATGACGGATGTCCCCCTCAATTAACTCCAGAGAAGAGTTTAACACTTCTGCAAACATCTTTCCTTTTGGTGACTTTTTAAAGTGCGAAATAATCTTCGCGCTGGATTTTGAACTTTCTGGAACCGGAAACTTTACTTTCATTTTTATAATAGTAATACCGACACTTTCTAAGGATTATTTTACTAAATTAATCTGCAGTACTCGGCTTTTTATAACTTTTTGAAAAAGTGGAAAGGGCAGACCAATCTAAAAGTATTAAAATTGCTCCCTTTTAGCACATTTTTTAGCGAAAACTCGAGATTAATCACTTAATAGCATATGATTATACATTGTTACAACCCTAATGTGCTAGTTACCCTATATAGATTTCAATTAAATTTTAATGACCTTTTAATTATAATTAAGAGTTTTCTCATATTCTATAACACTTGTTATTTACCAATTCACATATTTGTTGGCAACTTATCGTGGATCTAAATTTGCAAAATATTTACCATAATTAGAATAGGGAATCGCTTATACGGGCACCCTGTATTATACATATCTTGTATAGATAAAACTCCAAAACCTCACCCGCAAATATGTGGGTTCTACAATTGCGCTCGAAAAATGTTAATTATATTCACCCCATGTAATTTTTGTTAATACTACATGTACCATCTGTTTGGTTTAAAAACCAGACAATATTTCCGTTTTAGAATTAAGGGTTTTATAACGATGGAATAGCAGATAACACGCTGAATTCATTTCTATTTAATAAATATATGTATAAAAAGCAAAATGTTATAAAATGAAGTTGTTTGTATTTTAAACAATTTTATATAATCAACCTATAACGTTCTACGTCTTTTAATGCCATCTCTTCATGCTTCTCTGTCTCTCCACAACTCGTCTCCAGGGTGTTCTTCCATATCCTTGTCTATTCCTTCCTATCAGCTTTTTCTGAGTCTTCTTCTTCTTCTTGTGGAATTCGGGTCTCACGCATTCTTTGAACGTTGAACAGACAAGTTGTTTGGTTTTAATTTCATCAACTATTGTGTGTGTGACTTGCATTATTTCTCTTATTCTTTCATTTGTCACTCATTCCAGTTTTGATCTTCCCACAGATCTTTACCAGAAATCCATTTCAGTAGCTTCTAGCATTCGTTTTGTTTTTTTCTTTCAATTGCCACACTTCACACCCATATGTAATTATACTTTTAACTACGGTGTCCTATATTCGCTTTTTACCGTTGTTTGTTAAATTGTTAAACAATTTTAAAGGATATTATAAAATTAACATTTTTTGCCTTAACAATCCTTATAAATATTGAAATTACGTGCATAACTGAATATAAATCCAACTGATAACTACATAATGTAATCAACAAACGCCAAAATATCAGTATTGTTTATAGACTACTCTAAACATTTTATTTGTCACAACCCGTAAAATAAAAATTAAAAAACGTCTCCATTTTAGTTTTTATAGACTTTTAAGGTTTCCTTCCCTGAATACTCTTCATGCTTCTCTGTCTCTCCACAACTCGTCTCCAGGGTGTTCTTCCATATCCTTGTCTATTCCTTCCTATCAGCTTTTTCTGAGTCTTCTTCTTCTTCTTGTGGAATTCGGGTCTCACGCATTCTTTGAACGTTGAACAGACAAGTTGTTTGGTTTTAATTTCATCAACTAATGTGTGTGTGACTTGCATTATTTCTCTTATTCTTTCATTTGTCACTCATTCCAGTTTTGATCTTCCCACAGATCTTCACCAGAAATCCATTTCAGTAGCTTCTAGCATTCGTTTTGTTTTTTTCTTTCAATTGCCACACTTCACACCCATATGTAATTATACTTTTAACTACGGTGTCCTATATTCGCTTTTTACCGTTGTTTGTTAAATTGTTAAACAATTTTAAAGGATATTATAAAATTAACATTTTTTGCCTTAACAATCCTTATAAATATTGAAATTACGTGCATAACTGAATATAAATCCAACTGATAACTACATAATGTAATCAACAAACGCCAAAATATCAGTATTGTTTATAGACTACTCTAAACATTTTATTTGTCACAACCCGTAAAATAAAAATTAAAAAACGTCTCCATTTTAGTTTTTATAGACTTTTAAGGTTTCCTTCCCTGAATATTTTGTTTTATTGACTCCGTCCAGTGTTTCATTATTTATGATTTTTTATACCCGGCTATTTATATTCCTCATATTTACTGATCGTTTCTCCTGCATCTAGGATCAAGTTCTGACGATATTCATATTTGGTTTTTTTATTTTTTTCCATTTCTTCTTATACTTATCATATATTTATTGATTCAAAATTAATATAATTTCTTTTTTGTTATTTGAGTTAATGGCCTTTTAATGTTACCCAAACGTTTACCCCAATTTAAATAATGTCAAATGAGGGTGCCAGAAATAATTCGTTGTCGTTAATTAAACTATTATCCTTTTCAATTTACTCAATTGGTTAGTCTAATTTGAATATTGTTGGGTGTTCAACTGGCTGGCTTTTTATATTTAATGGAGTTAATTAAACTAATCATATTATTCTGCGGGGTGGGTAGATTGACCAGTGCTTAATTGGCAATTGCTGAATTATTTTTGACCACGATATTGTGTACAATCTTAATTCGCTTTACCCTATTTAAAATCACCCACCCTCATTTTGCATGCAGTAATATCTTATATCACCCCACCCTATTTTAGATTACTCTAGGGTAATTTATAATTAATTATTGTTATAATTAGTCATTTTGACCACGAAATTGTGTACAATCTTAATTGGTTAATTCGCTCCACCCTATTTTAAGTAACCCTATTAAATCTTGTCTAGACCGGCCTCGGTTCATTGACCCCCTCCTCATTTTGCTCATACTAATACACACTACTTTATCCATTTAATTTTTTTCGACAATTAGTTAAATAATTCCTGCTGGTATTTGGTCTAAGCC